GACGAGTCTGTGAATGCTGTCTAAGAAGCAGAGAAGCGCTGACAGCGGTGGTATATATACAGTGCTGTTCGTTACAGATCCAGTGTGTGTTTAACAGCACATCCATCAGCTCAAGCCGCTCCCGGTGTTAAGACAGCGTCCAGTCCAACTAAAACCTTACAAGCGCTCTCCATCCGCCGCTTCTCCCTCTGACAGAAAGCAGACACCAGAGAAACCTGACACACGATGTTTGGTGTTCGCAAACGAGCAGAGAGCGTCCAGAAAAGAAGAAGAGAGACGGGGGAGGATTGAGCCTGGATAAACCGGGACAAATGCATGTTTACACGTTACTGACACGAGAGGGAAGACGATATATACACAAGCCTCTTCTCTTTACGCATGTCAGAAACCTAGTTTGCTTGATTTGTTAGCGCTGCGCCTGGCCAGATGTTTTCTGGGAAAGAATGAGACGGCAGGCTGAAGTATTTCAGTAGGTGGGCTGTCTGAAGACGTGAAGATGCTCTGTTTCACCAAGGAGCCGCAGACAAATTCAATAGAAAACAGACGCTGGATATATGTGGGAATATTCTAGATGTCTGAACGCATGTTCACACTCATCTTGTGAAATATATATACATATACACTACCGGTCAAAAGTTTGGGATCAGAAGGATTTTTAATGTTTATACAGGAGTTTCTTCTGCTCATCAAGGCTGCATTTATTTGATTAAAGATACAGGAAAAAATGTAATATTGTGAAATATTATTATGATGTAAAATAACGTTTTTCTATTTTAATATACATTACAATCTAATTTATTCCTGTGATGCAAAGCATCATAACTCCAGTACGATAGTGTATATATAGGACTTAATTTACAAAAGACTTTGTAAGATCTTTTTAAGACCAAGTAAAGAAAATGTAAGGAATAAACCGAATGAAAAACGATAATGTCTCGTATTTTACTTTTTAATTCATTAAAAATAGCTTAAGGCCTGAACATCTCTGCTCACAAATAGAATATGGAAATAATTTTACTGTACATTACACAAAAAAGTGACTTTGTGCATCAGTTTTTTCATCTTGTTTTCCAGTGCAAATGTCTAAAGATTCTTAAATGAATGACGATTTTAAGAAATGTATCAAATTAAGCAAGCTAAAACAAGAACAAATATCTGTCAGTGGGTTTAGAAAAATCAACATAATTCAGAGGGAAACAAGTTTGCATGCCCCACGGACAGATTTTTGTTTTTGTTTTAATCATAAACACTTCTTTTTGATCACTTTCTCAGGAACAAGACTTCATATCTTCATTTTGCATCTCCAGAAAATGTATCTTAATTTAAGGGTGTTTAGATATTTGCACTGGAAAACAAGATTAAAACACTGAGGAAGATATGCATTGCATGCAACATTTAATGCAATGCAAACAATGAATATTTTAATTTAAGAGCGATTTTTTTGTGTGCACGGTACAGCCCTGACCAAACCAGTTCCAGATTGTAGGAGCGATAAACTCCTCTTCAATTTCACGTCTGCCTTCCGCGATGTCGCACACAGAAATATGTCAACAACTAGACTTCATCGTTTTTATCACGAGAAGACTAATTCTTATCATGAAGAGAATTTTTAACCGGTATATCCCAAACTATAAGACATCGCTCATCCCTACTCAGCGCTCATTTACACCACCAGAACATCATGATCTCTTCACTCCTCCCTTAAGAACGAGTGGATTAGCGAGTATTGACATCAGCGGGGGGTGACCTCGTGACCCCAGGGTGCCTTTAAAGGGCCAGAGGTCACGGTCACAGCTCGTGTTCGCTGTGTTTACCTGCTGTCGCTGCTGAGCCAGGAGATCCTCGAGCTGCCTGAACTTTGACCTCTCCAGCTCCACCTGGTGAGCGCAGTCCTCGCGCAGACGCCGGCCACTGTCTTGCAGCTCTCGCATGCTGAACTCGTGCTCGGAGCGGAGCCACTGCGTCTAAACGAGCGGCAGACGAACGCCTCAGAAACACGATCACACGACACGCTCTCTGAAGATCATTCAGTCTCACCTGCATCTCAGCGTGAGCCAGAGCTTTCTCGCTCTTCTCCAGATCAGACAGAGTCTTCTGCAGCTGCTCCTCCAGGAGACTATACTCCATCTCCTGAAAACACAGTGACAAAAACATAACATAACTAACCCTGTCATGGCTTTCTGCAACAGTGCTCACTGTCTGACCTTCTTCTTGATGATCTCCCGCTGGTGATCTCTGTTCCTCCACTCCTCCGCCAGCGCCTGCATGTGACTCCGCTCCTTCTGCTTCAGCTGAGGACAAAACAAACACAACAACACATTACCTCTGAAAGACAAACAAACAACTTCTAGTACACATCTGCAGCATCTTATTGGTTCCCAGAAGTGCACCACCTCTTTTACGATTGGCTAAACTCTTTGCATATAAAATGAGTAACTTTGCATATGAAACGACTTGCTGATTACTGAATAAAGGCAGATAATCATACACTGTAAGAAATAAACAAAGAAAAAAAAAAGTTTTAAGTTGCCAGAACTTTAAAATATATATATATATATATATAGTAGCAACATTAAGTTTTACAGACTGAAATTACAATTTAAAAAACAACAACATATATTTCTGTAACTGAAATAATGTTAATATACCAAATTACTAAAATCTCTTTTTACCTTTATAATATACTGGCGAACGCCTTAAAACACAGGTGGTGTCATACACGAACGCAAAACACCATCATTATAACCGGCATGAGAATAAAATAACGCAATAAACAACATACAACCTTAATGCACTGAGAAAACTAAGAGGAAACTTATTTGAATGAAAAACCTTCAAATGTGAGCCGTCACATGCACAGGGAATTGTCAGTTGTCAAAAGTCAATTTAAGGCTTTTTACTAAAGCAATAATCCCCGTGAAGCCGTGGTTTACAGTGAGTTTATAACAGCAACCAAGAGAACCGAACTACAAGTGTGAACACCCTAAGTGTTTTTGGGTGGTTGCCAGGGTGTTTGCTATGCAGTTGTTTTTTGAGGGTTTTTAACACATTGACATGTGGTTGCCAGGGTGTTGCGTGTGTAGTTATATATAATTCAATATATATATTAAAGCAATAAGCCCCAAGAAGCCGTGGTTTACAGTGAATTTATAGCGCCCCTTAGCTGTTATAAGTTCACTGTAAACCACGGCTTCACGGGGCTTATTGCTTTTATAAAACAGTTATTCCATATATGTAGTAAGGTTCCACAAAATAAAACAGAGCAAATAAAGTGTAATGATATTAATAAAAACAGTATTCTTCCACCAAACAATGTAGCTCCTCAGAAACAGTTGTGGTTCCAACAAAGTGGTTGCCGAGCAACACACAAATGTAAACAAAGGTGTATGTTACTTTGTAGAGTCATTTGCAACAGCTTCGAACGCGGCTCAGCCAATCAGAATCAAGGACCGGAACTCTCCGTTTCATAAGATACATTATAAGATGACTTGTTCTAAAACAGAATATTTAAACAGTACTTTACTGTAAAATGAAATGTCCCGTTACATCGATTACAGTTTTCCACCATATTGATTAAAGGGACTTGCTGTTAATCAAGTAACAGGTTTTTACCGTAGTGTGATTTTTACAGTGTATGAGCTCATGGTTCTGATGTCAACACTGTAATGCTTTGTTTATCTTATGCTGTTTTGGGGCGAGGAGATGCTTTGCATTGTGCACATTAAAGTTTCTTCATAGCTCCACGACAGTGAAAAACTAAATTCTGTTTTCCATGACACATGTGATCCGAGAACCGAGCTGCACCTGATTGTCGAACAGATCCTCCTGCATCTCCTTCCACATCTCCAGCTCCAGCGCTGCCTTGTACTCCAGGGTCTCTCGAGGTCGAGTGACAGTCTCTGCCTCATTGGGACCCTAATCAACAAACATTACCATTGTACCAATAAGCATTGCATGTATTCTGAGTCAGTGCTATCTGCTTGTTAGCCAGGGTTCAAAGTCCAAGGCACGAGGGAAATCTGCGCTGATACAATGTTACTCGTCAGTTGCTCAGTCACATTATTATGAATTTTTACAAGGCATGTTACAATGCGATACGTGCGACGTATTCATAATGAGACTCATTTATAAATCTGCTGTCGTTGACAAAAAGAAGCGCTGAGGTCTTCCTGCACGTTTCTGCCAAAATAAAAAAGCTTCGAGAAAAAGCTAGAACTCCAACATTCATAAATGTTAGTATTGTTGTAATTTTACTGTTGTTCTGTAAAATAAAATAAAAAGACAATAATAATGATAATAATCATTACAACAGCTCTCTTAATACATTATAACATACACACATAGTGTTAAAATTGGGATCTGTAATATTTTGCAATGTTTTAAAAGAAGTCTCTTCTGCTCAGCAAGGCTGCTTTTATTTGTACAGTAAAAATACATGCCTGATTCAAGGGGGTCTGATCGCTAAAAAATATTATTTGACTAACTTATTAATTTTAAGTTAAATTGTGCTTTGTTGGTGTAATGTCTGCTAGAATGTTAAAAAATGTTGAGTGATAAATACTTTTAAATTGTTGTTTTGTAATTGATTTTTTCTTTGAAAAACAAGACAAAACAGTAAAAAAAAAAAAGTGTTTGGTATTCGGCTTCGGCCAAGAATTTTCATTTCGGTGCATCCCTACCCATAATTCTGCTGTCCAAGCCACATTAACATTCAGATACAGAACGAGAGTCGGTGAGGGATCAAAGGTGAAGCACCTGTGACGATTCAGAGACGAGGACGTCTTGAGCTTTCACAAACCCCAGATCTTCAAGAGCGCTCACATAACAGAGTTCAGCCAACTTCTCAGGCCTACAGACACACCATTCAGTTCAACCGTTAAACTCACACCATTGCTGCCATGGGACAAAAGCATAATAAAGGTAATTATGAATGTAATCTTTTTATCTTACAATTCGTTTTTTTTTTGTCTGCCACAGAATAAAAAAAATAAAAAAGGTAACCGTCACTGTCTCAAAATTCAGAGTTTATATCTCGCAATTATGACTTTTTTCCTCAAAATTCAGTTTATATCTTGCAATTATGACTTTTTCCCTCAAAATTCAGTGTTTATATCTCACAATTATGACTCTTTCCCTCAAAATTCAGAGTTTATATCTCGCAATTATGACTATCCTCCATAAAAGCCAATTGTTGTCATGTATCATAAAAATGTGCTTGATGTGGTGACATAAATGCACATCCTTAACCCAGAAATCATCATTCTGCAACCATTTACCTGTTTGACTTTCTTCTATCAACACATAAGAAGATATTTTGAGAAATGTCTCAGTGTTTTTAGTGCATACAATGAAAGTAAATGGGCTTTAATGTTGTTTAGTTCCCAACATTCTACAAAAGTTTCACTTTTTACAGACATTTCAGCACTGTGTTTTTGTTAACACTGAAACTACTGATCATTTATTTTTCCATTGTATGCAGAATTATCAATTTTTCTTTTATGCCAAAAATCATTAGGATATTAAGTAAAGATCATGTTCCATGAAGATATCTTGTAAATTTCCTACCGTAAATATATCAAAACTTAATTTTTGATTAGTAATATGCATTGCTAAGAACTTCATTTGGACAATTTTAAAGGCGATTTTCTCAATATTTAGATTTTTTTGCACCCTCAGATTCCAGATTTTCAAATATTGTGCTATCATAACAAACCATACATCAATGGAAAGCTTATTTATTCAGCTTATGACTGGTTTTGTGGTCCAGGGTCACATTGTCAGTGCCTTGTTGTTTGTACATGATACTGGTGAATAATAAGTTTGCATAATAGGACTGTGTGTTTTAAGGTCTCCATCTAGAGGTGAGTTCTGTGTGCTACAGGTACAATGATCTGCTGGGATTGAACAGAATATGATCCAACAACTAAATACAGTCCTGTACGCTTCACGCCGAGACGTTTGCTTCAGCGCAGCCTTCATGGATTCAGATTTGCAAATCTGCACGAACCCGTCTGCTTTCATGATGGGAATCCTCTCCGAACAGCTGTGTCTCCAGTGCTGATGACCAGATGGGTCGAGGAAGCGTGTTTTCTCGGCGCTGAGGAGGCGAGACAGATGAATGCTGACAGAACCCAGCAGAACATCTCCAGAGCTCGGCTCTCTGTGCCACATCTCCACCGCCAGAGGAACCCTGATCACACACAACAACAACAGCTCACAATCAAACCAAGACATCACATTTAAACACCCAGCTCATTTCATATTGAGTGTTAACTACACATACAGTTCTCAGTTCATTTCCAGACTGAGATTAACCCTGTAAGGCCTGACACATTAAATCATAGTCAGAAAAAAATCAGTTTATTGAACCTTTAGACACAATATTGTTCTAATATTGTATAATAAAGACACAAAGTGTTTTTTTGTTGAGTATCATTTGATGCATCAGGCTTTTATGGCTCTGATACAGTGAGAATACAGAGGAAAAAACAGCTAAATTTTATTCAGAGACTCAAACTGAGCAAAAATATGAATTTGCTGCAGATGCTGATATTCATATGATGAAATTCTGCTGCTTGTGATGTATAATCAGTGATTATATATATATAACTTATATAAAATGATCTAAATATCAGTCGTCGCTCTATATCTCCAGTAATATGACTTAGTAAGATGAGATTGAAATGATCCAAACATATACATCACGGTTCGGTATGATTTCGTTTTTTTTTTTTTTATAAATAGTGGTTTACTGAACAAGTTGCTCTTTCTTGTGTGCAAACATGTAAATTGCACATAATGTAATTTTTAGATTAACTTATAAATTATAAAATTTCTGTTTGTTCAAATATATTCAATTACACAGTGGCTGTCATAACATGTTTCATAGCAGATTAATTTAAACATACATTAAGTAATTAAGACTAACAGGTAAGTAAAATATAATGAGTATTTAGTGTAATATTTCGGGAAATGCTCTTCTGTAGACTTCATTTCTCTAGTGAACTAAGGTTAACGAGCTGTAGACACTGATGACTTGCTTCAGGTAATGATGAATGAATGATGATGCATTTACAGTGGGTACGGAAAGTATTCAGACCCCCTTCAATTTTTCACTCTTTGTTATATTGCAGCCATTTGCTATTTATAAACTGGTTTACTGAACAAGTTGCTCTTTCTTTAAATACATTCAGTTATAATTAATTTTCTTAGCGATAAAAATCTACCTTTATGCTTATGCTTTAAACTATAGGGAGTCCTTTACATTATAAAGTTACAATTAACAACTTAACCCAAACTTAAATTTAATCAGGCTACTATTTATTTTTAAATATAATAATCAACACTTGACTTTAAAGGGGTCATATAATGCTTTTTTAAAGATCATTATTTTGTGTATTTGGTGTAACAGAATATGTTGACATCAGATAAAATAGAATTCGAATAGAGAGTGCTAGAGTTAGAGGGTCAAGTCAACAAACAGATAAAATAGAATTAGAATAGAGAGTGCTAGAGTTAGAGGGTCAAGTCAACAAACAGATAAAATAGAATTCGAATAGAGAGTGCTAGAGTTAGAGGGTCAAGTCAACAAACAGATAAAATAGAATTAGAATAGAGAGTGCTAGAGTTAGAGGGTCAAGTCAACAAACAGATAAAATAGAATTCGAATAGAGAGTGCTAGAGTTAGAGGGTCAAGTCAACAAACAGATAAAATAGAATTAGAATAGAGAGTGCTAGAGTTAGAGGGTCAAGTCAACAAACAGATAAAATAGAATTCGAATAGAGAGTGCTAGAGTTAGAGGGTCAAGTCAACAAACAGATAAAATAGAATTAGAATAGAGAGTGCTAGAGTTAGAGGGTCAAGTCAACAAACAGATAAAATAGAATTCGAATAGAGAGTGCTAGAGTTAGAGGGTCAAGTCAACAAACAGATAAAATAGAATTAGAATAGAGAGTGCTAGAGTTAGAGGGTCAAGCCAAGAAATAGATAAAATAGAATTAGAATAGAGTGCTAGAGTTAGAGGGTCAAGTCAATAAATAGAGAGTGCAAGTGTTAGAGTGTAAAGTCAACAAATATATAAAATAGAATTAGAATAGAGTACTAGAGTTAGAGGGTCAAGTCAACAAATAGAGAGTGCAAGTGTTAGAGGGTCAAGTCAACATAGAGAGTGCTAGAGTTAGAGGGTCAAGTCAACAAACAGATAAAATAGAATTCGAATAGAGAGTGCTAGAGTTAGAGGGTCAAGTCAACAAACAGATAAAATAGAATTAGAATAGAGAGTGCTAGAGTTAGAGGGTCAAGTCAACAAATAGATAAAATAGAATTAGAATAGAGAGTGCTAGAGTTAGAGGGTCAAGCCAACAAACAGATAAAATAGAATTAGAATAGAGAGTGCTAGAGTTAGAGGGTCAAGTCAACAAATAGATAAAATAGAATTAGAATAGAGAGTGCTAGAGTTAGAGGGTCAAGCCAACAAACAGATAAAATAGAATTAGAATAGAGAGTGCTAGTGTTAGTGGGCCAAGTCAACAAATAGATAAAGTAGAATTAGAATAGAGAGTGCTAGTGTTACAGAGTCATGTCAAGAAATAGATAAAATAGAATTAGAATAGAGAGTGCTAGAGTTAGAGGGTCAAGTCAACAAACAGATAAAATAGAATTAGAATAGAGAGTGCTAGAGTGCGAGAGTGCTATTTCTCTTTAGGCTATTTTATTTTACAAAAGCACAAAGATTTGTTTTTATTGTGAACGTACACAAATAAAGGCAAACCTTGTACAATTCCGATTATCTTTATGACTAAAAGGAGTAGTTGCTTCCACTGTTAGAAGGAAAAAATTCAAGTGATTGCGTTAAGCATTGTCACTGTTAAGCATTGCTACCTTGACAATGCAGCCTGTTCATTATCATAATAAAATACAGTCAGTCAAACATATGGAAAAAAACACACTGCTCAGTTTAAATATGTAGTCAAATCTGTGCCGTTAAGCGTTATCACCGTACCGCCGTGATGTTATGCACAACATTTAGTTTTACGTGGATATTGGAACGCGAGTGAAGTACATAATAAAAAATATTTTGGCATTCAAATACATCGTGAATATTGAAACATTTGATTTTGTGTCGAATGAGAGACCCAACGTTGGTTTCTGTTTGTTATAATGTTTGCAAACATTTCATGTCGGCATTAGGACTATTTCTGAATTAAATGCAACTTATACGCGACTTATGTTTTTTTTTCTCTAAAAAAACGGTATTTCTTTATAGCCTACGTGTAGCGTATTTTAACCATGCAGCAAACCTTTTTTAATATTTTGATAAATTACTGAAAAAAATATAAATAAATGACTTTTTAAACCATTTAACTGATTGTATTAATCGGTCAAAATTCTTACGTCGGAATAGAGAGTGCTAGTGTTAGTGGGCCAAGTCAACAAATAGATAAAAATAGAATTAGAATAGAGAGTGCTAGTGTTACAGGGTCATGTCAACAAATAGATAAAATAGAATTAGAATAGAGAGTGCTAGAGTTAGAGGGTCAAGTCAACAAATAGATAAAATCGACTTTTTAAACCATTTAACTGATTGTATTAATCGGTCAAAATTCTTACGTCGGTTAACCAGTTAAAATGAGCATCCCTAGATCTAAGCACATCTCATAGGTCTGAAAAAAGTGAGTTGCCACTGAAAGGTGAGGAGTTTTATCTATGAACATGTTAAAGCTTTCGCGAGGCACCTGAGGACACAGTTGATGGGGAAGCTGGTCCTGAGGTCTCGGATGCTGCGCAGGTCCAGAGAGAAGCAGCATCAGCTTTAGACACATCTGGGACGACAGGTGCATCTGAAAGAACAAAACAGCTATTCACACACACACACACACACACACACACACACACACACACACATTTACTGTGCTATAGCATGAGAAATATTGCTTTTTAATGACTACTAATGAGAAGTGAAGTGACATGTGGCCAAGTATGGTTACCCATACTAGGAAATAGTGCTCTGCATTTAACCCATCCTAAGTGCACACACACAGCAGTGAACACACACACACCGTGAACACACACCCGGAGCAGTGGGCAGCCATTTATGCTGCGGCGCCCGGGGAGCAGTTGGGGGTTCGGTGCCTTGCTCAAGGGCACCTCAGTCGTGGTATTGAAGGTGGGAGAGAGCGCTGTACATTCACTCCCCCCACCTACAATCCCTGCCGGACCGGAGACTCGAACTCGCAACCTTTGGGTTACGAGTCCGACTCTCTAACCATTAGGCCACGACTTCCCCAAGTCCCCAAGAGATATGAAGGTTCAGTCTGAACTGAATAAGATTTAACAACTGTGCATGAAAATAATACATAAACAGCAACTGGACAACACGATAACACTATGCACATGTGGGTCAAAGATAAGACGCCCCATTTTGGTGACCACATGAAAATTTACAAAAGTGATTTCATATACACAGAAAGTATAACAAATGCAAGTAAAATTTTCAAATCAAGTTTGTGAGATAAAATGTCAGAATATGGGTGAAATAATATTCATTGTCATTCAGCGTAACGGATATGCATTTATATAAAAACGAAACATACTTATTCTGAACCTGTACTTATTAAAATATATAAAAGAAAATTTAGTGATCATACTAAATTTTTTTGTTATATTTTAAATGATTAAAACTTTTTGCTGTCAAATGGGTAAAAGCTAATGGTTTGAAGGACAGTGGCAAAGATCGTTTAAAATTTTAATTAAGTAATTTTTGGGGCTGATCCTTAAATTGAGTCTTTTAATGATTCTTGTTCTAAATATGCCTGATGAGATTTTTGGTATATGTATGATTTGTAATGTATGATATCATTTTTTGCTCAGAAAAAAAAAATGAATTAAACAGGACACATTCTAATGTATGATTTAAAAAAAAAGCTTTATTAAAGTTTTATTGATGCTTGAAAACCCATTTTCATCTTTGACCCATGTATTAAAATTGGTTTATGTACTAAAATATCAATATATATGCACATGAGATCGATCAATATTGGATTTTGCTTATAATAATGTGTGTAAAGAAAGCCAATGAATAGATTATTGTGCCAATGCTAGTAAAATTAATATATGCAATGAGTTAAATAACGTTCTTAGTCTTTCGTTCCAGTGTCACAGCAGCCCAGAGAGAAGATACAAGAGTTGATGTTGAATTAAATGCCAGATCAAAAGACCAATAAATACCAAAAAAAATATTATGCATAATAGGGCTGTCAAAAAAAAGAAAAAAATCGAATTTCGAATATTCGTCGAATTTAAAATAAAAATCCACATTCGAATGCAAAAACGTTGCATGTTTAGAAAGCCATGTAAAATTAATGCTATTCAAAATTAACTATTAAAAAACATGTCTCGCGACTTTATTTCCCCATCCAACTGCATCTCATGTTTTTAAATGAAAAAGTACTTTGTGATTGGTTTTCGGTCCTTTGTATTAAACTATACATCTTACACCTTTTCCAAATTCAAGCACTTTTCAAGGTGCATTTTCAAGCTTTTCCAGCACTTTAAACTGTGGTAAATTACATTTTTACACACACACACACACACACACACACACACACAATCTGCTGTTAAACAAGCTACCCGCTACTGTCTCTTCAGGACAAGCATCAACTTCCTTTTCCTCCAAAATTGCGGGCAGGATTGTGTTTCATGTGCAGTAGCTGTTGGACCTGTTGCTCTATTTCTGTCTCTCCAAATATCCTTAACTATAGCATTGCATAATATAAATAGCCAACATACAGTATATAAATTAAATAAAAAAGAAAGAAAGAATTTACAGGGTATCTACAGGATTTTTAAAATAAAATTTAAGGCTTTTTAAGACCTGCACAAATAAAATAAAATAAATACTGAGCGGGGTAATGTCTATGGTAACATATTAAACTATTTTTTAAGCAATAAAGAAAAGGGATAAGTCAAAAATACAAAGAATTATTTTGTTTCTCAGCAGCTTTGATCACGGAGGATGAATTTGCATTTTCAATAAGCCCGTCTGCTGTTTTTGTTCAGGACAAAAAGCGAATGTGCCTTCAGAAATCTAAAAAATGTAAACAGCAAGATGTTTGTGTGCTTTAAATTAAATTAATTCTTTACACTTTTGACTCATCCCTTTTCTTTATTTCTTAAAAATAGATTAAAGGCTAAAATATTAGGGGTGTAAATCGGATGGTTCGTCACGATACGATACGATATCGATTCTCATACCCAGCGATACGATATTTGCCGATACTTCAAACAATTCTGCGATACGATTCGATACAGGAGAATATCGATCGATATATCGATATTATTATATTATATACCTATTTTAAACAACCATTTACATTTGTATTAACTCACAAATGCAACCAAAACATATAACATGAACATTTATCTTAAATTTTCACATCCTGTTCCTCAATTGGGACATTCAAAAACTAAAAATAGGCCTACAACACTTTTTTTTTTAAATAATAAATAAAAATAAATAATTGAAAAAAAAACAAATGTAAGTCACACAAGATATAAGTAATCTTAAGATATGACAACAGTCAAGATTTGCGTGCTAAAATATGCAATGTGTAAAATAATGTAAATTATCATTAGAAAACAACACAAACAAGGTACTCCAGTTGTAGAAAAAAATACATTAATGTAGAAAAATAAATTAAAAAAATACAACAATAAAGCTGTTAAAACTTTATTGGAGACTTTTTTTTGGCTGCTACTATGGGCTCAGTGCTATAGCAGAAAATAAATACAATATAACAAAGACACAAATTAAATACACCGTGCTTTTCAGGTAGATCTAAAATACATTTTCAGTGCTATGGGCGGAGCCTGTCTCTCATACGTTGTGGGCGGAGCCTGTTTTTCATGTACTGTGGGCGGAGCCTGTCTTTCATACGTTGTGGGCGGAGTCTGTCTCTCGTGTACTGTGGGCGGAGCCTGTCTCTCATACATTATGGGCGGAGCCTGTCTCTCGTGTACTGTGGGTGGAGCCTGTCTGTCGTCACTGCACAGACTCTCAGCCTTGCTCTCAGAGTGCTGGTGTTCAGGAGAAGCGGCTGGAGATCGGAGAGGCCGGTCTGGTGATCTGGCCGGTGACGGGGTCATCAGGGCTCTGGGACATTCATGACGGGCTGCAGGCACAGGACCTTTCTTCACTGGAGTTTTAGGTCCATTTTCAATGGGTATGTCTACCTGTTTACAAAAATATGCCTGTTAAAAACGCTGAAAGATCGTAATTAATAACATTCTACACAGACAACAACATCCTGTGTCTACAACTCATCAGAACAGAAACCAAAGCAATAAAAAAAATTAAGGATAATATTATTAAAGGCACCATTTCTAAACGTTTGTACCATTACAATTCAACTTACGATGTTAGTAAAGCAGTCTTGTACTAAAAAAATTAATGATTGGCTACACTTTTCACATGCAAAATGACTAAAAAAACTTTGCCAAGCTCGCGATTAAATTACATATTTCAAATCAGCAACAAAATCTGAAATTAACTGCCCCATGAATGTTGTTTCTTATGCTCAGATAGCGTTTTTTGATTTCACAGAGTTATCTAGTTATTAAATAAAACCA